TAGTATTTTTTCCCCTAAGATTGCAACTATAAACTGAACTACCGATGTGTTATAACATCTTTTAGCAATTTATAAAATAGTCAAAAATCACTCAATGCCTCCCAGAGTTACTGCAGAATACACCAACAATTAAACATAAAATATTGAGTCTTTGATTTGCAAAAGACCTTATAGGGTTAGGTCAGTTTACTTCCAAAACTGGTTATTTTTCCTCCCAATGTATTCCTGACTCTTTGTCTTCACATGTCAATCAATCTTATTAATAATACAAATTAAAACTTACTAGAACACATATCCACGATTTTTTTTTAAATCCAGATTTCCTTTCTACTCATCTAGCATAAAACTTTATTAATCTTACTAGAATACTTTCAAGATTATCTGCTATTAACATCACTGAAATTAGAATTTATGGAGCAATTTCCCTTCATAAGGCCAAACCACACAATCAAAAAGTCAATTTCAAAAGAATAATAAAAAAAATCACCTAATTCAAATCTTTTATTTCACATATATGGAAACTAAAACTGTTGAGAAGTTAAAAGGTTTTGCCGAAAGTCACCTGGTAGTTAACTGATGAAACAGAACTAAGATCCATGTATCTTAAAACTAGATTCTTTTTCCCACTCTGAATTGCCCTTTAAAATATATATGTGTGTATGTACGCATATATACATTGTCAGAATTTTTTGTTGTTAAAGGATTTTCAATTTCTCTCTAATGAGAAATATGAGAACATGAATAAAAGTGCTCTCCCACTTCTCTATTACCCTCATTTCTTTTTCACTGAATTTAATTATTTTCAGTGCCAGTCTGCGAACAGAGTATCTATTATGTGCCATTAGCTATAGTGTTAGATGCTAGGGAAACAAAAGGAAAAAAAAAAAAGACAAGACATGGCCTCTACCCTTATGAAAGCTCTCAGTTGTAAGTTTATAGTATCGTCCTAGAAGTTTCCTTTGCTGATTCTTTCTCATCTCACAAACTCTAGAACAGCGCTGTCCAACAGAAATGAGTCACAAACGTGAGCCATATATGTATCAAAAAATTTTTAACACCTACATTAAAAACAAGTACAAAGTAATATATTTAACTCAATATAGCCAAAATATAATTTCAACATGTAATAAATATAAAAAGTATTAATAAGGTATTTTACTCTTTTTGGATATTTAGTGTGAAATCTGATGTGTAGTTTACATTTACAGTACATCTCAATTGAGACTAGTCACATTTCACAGGCACAGCAGCCACATATAGCTAGTGGCTACTATACTGGACTGTGCAACTCAAGAAACCCCAGTGCTCAGTCTTTTTGAACTGGTTCTCTTCTCTATCTATATTCACTCCTCTGGGTATCTCAAATAATCTCATGGCTTTAAATGCCATCTATTTTCTAGTGATTCCCAAGTTTATTATCTGGGTTAGAACTCTCGCCAGAACTTTAGATTCATATACAAGTAACTATTGGGTTGTCGGAAAAGTCATGACACGTTTGCAACACATGGCACTAGTTCATTTTTGGAAGTACTAGAGCCATTCGCATACTATGTTATTGCTATGTCATTTGACAGCTGACAGTTCTAGCTTCATTATAAAAAAAATTGAACGATTTGGTTGAGTTTTGGAGATTTTACAAGTTAAAGATGGAAGACCAAACTGTGCATTTTTGCCATATTTTACTCTTTTACTTCCAAAAAGGGAAGAACACGCGGCAAGTTTGTGAAAAGTTGCATAAAGTTGACGGTGACAATGCTCTACAAGAAAGTCAGTGCCAACGATAGTTCACAAAATTCCGTGCTGGTGATTTTGATCTCAATGACGCTCCTCGGTCAGGGAGGCCCACCGATGTTGACGACGACAAAATAAAGGCATTGATCAAGTCAAACCCAAACCCACGTTACATGACACCAGAGATTGCAGAAACACTGAACATCCATCATTCAAGCATTCATGACCATCTGAAAAAGCTGGGATACGTAAGCAAGCTCAATATTTGGGTTCCGCATGAACTCAAAGAAGTTCATTTGACGGCGCATACAAACATCTGCAATACGCTCATTAAACATGGGGAAAACGATCCTTTTTTGAAACGACTTATAACTGGTGATGAGAAGTGGATTGTTTACAACAATGTGATGCACAAACGGTCTTGGTCCCGACGTGATGATTCTCCTCAAAGGACATCGAAAGCAGACATTCATCAGAGGAAGGTTATGCTCTCAGTGTGGTGGGATTTTAAAGGTATCGTGTTTTTCAAGCTCCTACCAAGGAACCAAACAATCAATTCGAATGTGTACTGTCGGCAATTGGACAGTTTGAACGAATCCATCATCCAGAAATGTCCAGAGCTTGTTAATTGTAAAGGAGTTGTGTTTCATCGCGGCAACACGAGACCACACACAAGTTTGATCACCTGTCAAAAATTATTGGAGCTTGGATGGGATGTGTTGCCACACCCACCATACTCGCCTGACCTTGAGCCATTAGACTTCCACTTGTTTCGCTCTCTTCAAAACTTGCGTGGTATAACGTTCAATTCCGATGAGGCTGTAAATCAGCACCTTGTTTAGTTTTTCGCAAATAAAGACAGATCCTTCTATGAATGAGGAATTATGAAGCTCACTGAAAGATGGCAAAAGGTTATCGAATGGGCAATATATCATAGATTGATCTTTGTTCTTTTTTTTTTTTTTAAGATTTTTTATTGGGGAATTCGGGGGATGGGAACAGCGCTGGGGAACTGGGAGAAGGGAAACAGACAAGTTGCTGTCCTTTTGTTCTTCAGTCTAGCTGTGGAGGACGTTGCTTCACTGGCCCAAGTTGGCACCATCATTGCGCTCTTCCCGGGAGAGGCAGATCAGTCGCCGGCTTCTGGACAGCCGCTCACCGCGGCTATTGGCCGCTCACGCTGGCTGCTGGCTACACACGGTAGCCCATGGCAACCCACTGCCACAGGGGCTGCAGCCTATGCCGTCGCCAGAGACTCACAGCAGCCCAGCTCCAGGTTGAGCTGTTGTTCAGCATTTAGCTGTGGAGGGCAATGTCACTGGCCCTCATATGTGGGATCCGAACCGGGGTCTTCTGGCGTCCCAAGCCAGTTCTTAACCAACGCGCCACTCGGCCGGCCCTGACCTTTGTTCTTTATATAAATAAATGACCTTTGAAAAACATAAGACAAAAGACGTCATGACTCTTCCGACAACCCAACAGACACAAACCGAATATCCCAAACTGAACTCTTGACTTCCAACCAGCAATGCCTACCTAAATCTGCTCCTCTACCAGATGTCCCCATTTCAGTAAGTGGCAACTCCATCTTTTCAGTTGCTCAGACCAAAAACTAGAGTCAAGCTTGACCCTCTCTATGTTCTCTAACATCCAATTCATTGTCTGTGTCTTTAAAACCAGTTTATTAAATACAAAGCTTATATAGTTCATAAAATACAGTGAGAATCTTATGACTTCTACTTTTACTGCCGAGCTCCACTTCAAGTCACCAGTATCGCTCACCTAAATTACTACAACCACTTATTTTCCTAATCACTCCCTGCACTGTTGCAGTCTACTTTCCACACAGCAGCCAGAGTTTTAAAACCTGATCCCTGATTTTATGCTCAAACATCCCCTGTATAGAACAGCAATACCACTCTTCCCAGCCTCCTCCTGGTCTTCCCCACCTTTCTTTCCTGCCTTTCCCCACAGGATTTGCTATCACTTCATCTGTTATGTATTTTACTTGTGAATGTGCTTTTCTTCCTCTACTAAAATAAAATTCCACAAGAACAGGGATTTTTGTTTTGTTCATGGCTCTATTCCCAGTGCCTAGAACCTAGCACATGGCAGTTAATCAATAAATATTTGATGAACAAATATTATCGATTATTATGTGGATTAAACAAAGTAACATATAAAGGTGTAGTACGGTCTCTGGAATATAGTAGCCACTCATAATCATTAGTCTATTCCCTAACCACTGTGGTGCTTTCCATAAAATAAAATCAGAATCTAAAATTATGTAAATTTTTAAAGTCATATACTTCATTCTATACTTAACTTTAAATATCTGATCGTTATTCAAAAGACAATTTTAAAAAGACATACAATAGAAGTTACCTAAATTTTAAAAGATCAGTTAAATACAATATTCAGTCGGTATTAAAAAACACTAACTCAGAATGTAACCTTGCTTAAAATACAGAGAAAATTAAATATTGTTTAAGTCTTCTTTAACGATAAAGAGCTATACTCTATGGCTCTTTCCTATAGGAAAATTTTAAATGTATTCACAATGTTCAACAGGACTTCACTTTTATTTATTTATAATTTGTTTCCTGCTTTCCTCTAAGAGAATTTGTGCTAGTCTAAGGAACCACGAAGGTTTTAAAACCACATATATTGTTTAACTAAAAAAACTTCAAAGAAAAAAATGAATCTGATCTGAATTTTAATATTTCTATAAAATATCTTGTGTATACAGCTACAACAATCAGAATTTAAAAACTTAAGTTATCGATAAAATGTGATCCCTCTCCAAAATATTGAGTGCCAGAGACTTCAGGTGATTTGCCTACAGAGGTCACAATGTTAGTGACTAAACAGACTAAACATCTGTGACCTTGAATGCTCAACCTATACACTGCAGTGCTTCTCAAATATATACTAACCAACGCCTTACTACCCAACAAGTTATGCTGACTGCCCTCGCACCTCTAAAAAGGAAGGAAAATAAAAGCAAATATCAAATGGTAAACTGTAATTCAACATGACAATTTACCTTTCAGGAAAGAAGCTTATGGAGAACAGATATAAACATGCAAAAAGGAGCAAAGTTTATGTTAGAATTATCATGGAGATATTACAAAGAATGGGTAGAAGAAATAAGTATAAGATGCCATAGATGTATGGCTTATATATCATTTTTCAAAAAGCTAACAAGTCATGGGGCTTTCTTCAGAAATTTGGACAATTTCATTTTATCACTGATGAGAATGACGTACCTCACGTTCCAGGCAGTGGTAAAATCTGGGTTTAGAAGCAGCAGGGTGCATGTCACATCTATCAATTCTAAAATAAAGAAAAGTCATATTAAAAACAAATAGTCCTGCCATTTAAATCTTGGCTTCTCTTTAAGGCCTTTTTTATTTTATTTTATATAGATATATAGCTTACATTATAGTAACATATATAACTCATGTCATAGTAATTTTAATGATAGATACAACTTTTTCTAAGCTGTCAGGAATAAGAAAATTATTCTCAAGATTTTCTTCTACTTATGATAAGTATAACTTGTTTTTAAAAGTTGACATTGAAATAATTTTGTAATAAATATGCCTATAAAGAATAATCAAATCAACCTCTTTATTCTTTTAGTAGTTTTTGGCACTAATTTTATATTCACCAAGGAAAACAAACAATTTCTATACCACTATTCAATTCCACAAATATTTCAAGAACTGACCATGTGCAAATTTTCAAAAGGGGGAAAAAAAAATACACTCACAATCCAATTTATTTCGCATAGTTCATTTCCATTCCCCTGCAACAATTATCCTTTCTCACATACATTTTTACATAGCTATAGCAACGATAAATACACAATTTTGTTGGTTTTTTTAATCAACATTATTACATATGCATGTTCCTATATTGCTACAGTATGCGTTTTTCACAGCTGCCTAACAATCCTTTAGTTTAACATACTATCTTATTCTTTAGGGTGTTTCCTGTTTGTTTTTACTGTTACAGATAATATTGCTAATAACATTTTAAAACACTTTGTCTCACAGATTATTTTCTGTGGATATATTTCTAGGACTAGAACTACTATGTTAAATAATACAAATATCAGTATAGCTCCTATTAAGCATTTCCAAATTGTCCTCCAAATGGACTCTATCTATTTATATTGCCAAGAGTAACATGAGTGTACTTATGTTCCTGTAACTGTCCTATATAATTAGACTTAAAAAAATAAATGTGGGATTGGGCCAGCCGAGTGGCGCACTGGTTAAGAGTTGGCTTGGGAGCATAAGCTCTGAGCAGCAGGGCCCCGGTTCAGATCTCCCACATGGGCCAGTGATGCTGCGTCCTCAACAGCTAAGATTGTGAACAACAGCTCGACCTGGAGCTGGGCTGCCATGAGTTGCCAGCAATGGCATGGGCTGCAGTGGGCTGCCATGAGCTACCGTGAGAGGCTGGAGCCAGCGGAGCAGCCGGCAGCCGGCATGAGCTGCCATGAGCGGCCATCCAATGGCCAGAAACCGATCTGCTTCAGACGGGAAGGGCACAATGATAATACCAACATGGGCCAGTGAAGCGACATCCTCCACAACTAGACTGAAGAACAAAAGGACAGCAACTTGTCTGTTCCCCTTCCCCGATTCCCCAATGCTGTTCCCCTCCCCCAACTCCCCAATAAAATCTTTAAAAAAAATTAATGTGGAAATAAAAAATTATACTTTGATACTGTTTTAATTTACATCTTTATAATTATTAATATGAATATTTTTCATTTTGTTTACTATTTTCTATTTTCATCTTATGAACAGCCTATTTCATATTCATTAGCTATTTAGCTTTCATGGTCTTGACACATTTCCTATGCAGTACTACCTTGGTTCATGAGCATAATTCATTCCGGAAACAAACTACTCATATTGCAAGACATCGCTCATTTACCACGTTAAAATGTATTAGAAATGTTTGCTCGTCTTGCGGAACACTCGCAAACTACATTACTCACAATCCAAAGTACTACTGTATATTCAAGTAAGCTCCATAAACATATTTTATAAAACAAAATCAGTAATATTTAGACATTGTCTTCATTTTACTGAAACTGAAGAGAATTTTAGGATTAAAATGATCAACCTAGAGCATAATACAAAATTAAGGAAACCTCTTCCAAGCTCACATTAAACTCTAAGTAAATAAAATAATAAATATTGTTATAATGATTTAGCATTATTGCTTACTAGGCATAAATACTTGATATTATTTCATTGAATTTTCACAATCACAATTTCTTTTGAAGTCTATAATTTTTCAAAATCCATTAAACAACCTGGATAAATTGATATCTCATGTCTTGGACACTCCCATTCTGCATTTAAAAAAAAAAGTGCGTAACCAATGGCTGTTACTAATTTGTTTGTACTTCTAATGCAACTCTTCCACCCCACCCATAAATGAAGACAAGCTCATCCTCCATGAGGGAGATACATCTGTACAGCAGCAAGGACAAAAACTAACAATCAAAAATACCTGTCTCCACTTTTCATTTTGTGGCTGTGTAAAGAGAGGAAGGCTAACCAAAGTAACATTTCCTTTAATGGAGGGTCTCCCCCTAACAGGGCAATAACAACTACTGGGTTCAGAGCCCAGTTCTACCACTTACTGGGAAGTTCCTGGACTTACCACTTTGTCTTTCTGTGCCTAATATCCTCCTTATATGTAAAATGGAGCTAATAATAGTACTACCTCATGGGGATATTAAATGATTCATACCCATGAAGTGTTAAGACAGTGCTTGACACAATAAGCACTCAATGATAACTCCTGTTACAAAACCTGTATTTCCTAGACCAGTTCCACAAATGATGCTGGGATTAAGGGCCACCAAAAGGAGGAAAATAATGTCCTAAGCCATCTGAGCAGTGACAGCTGAGCAGAGGGGATACTTCTCAACTTCTAAGAATCTTAGATTTAAAATGTATCAACAGCCTCAACAACCATCACTGGTGCCTAGTAACACATATAGTCACAGGCCCTTCTCCACTCCTACTTGACAAACCACTAACTCTTCCTATAATAATTCAAGACTCAAGTTCAGACAGGACTTCAAGAAGCAGTCCAGCCTGATCCAAGAGGTGGGGGTGAAAGGGAATATCAGAAAAGGGAATGCCAATGAAGGAGAAGTAATTAGGTTAGAAATACTGACCACAATGAAAGAATCACTCCTGAATTACATTTATTTTTCTGCCCTTCTTCCCCACTGGCTCTGGCTAGATGAGAGAAAGGAAACTCGTGTTTCTTGAGAGCCTACTACATGCGCTGGGAGCTTTACACACACTAATTCATGTGATCATCACAACTACCCTGAGACCTATCAGTGTGATAATAGGAAGAGGTTAAGTAATTTGCCTGAAGTAACTGCTAAGTGACTTCACTGTGTTGATGAATTGAATATAAATCCAGGTCTGTTTTTCTGCAAAGCCAGGTGCTCTTTCCAGTCTAGCAAACCATCTACAATTACTCTGCCCTCTTCGAGTGAAGACTGAGCCAAAGATCTAAAGATAAACATATATGATCAACAGTTGTAACTATTTCAACCTACATTTCATCAACTATATATCATTTTCCTTTGCAGTTTTACCCAGAACATGTGAGCTGCTAATATCCCTACTATCTTTGAATTAAACAGATTTCTCTCCAACCAGCAGAGCATATACCAGTAAATAACTGCTTCTTTGTTAAACACACTCCAATACATAACTTACTCATCATCACATCACAGAAAGAAAATAAGAATACATTATACACTGGAAAGTAGCTAAATTCCAGCTGGAATAAGGAGAGGATAAAAGGATGCTACAGAAAAGTCAGAGAAAAATCAATATGTTTTCTTTGCAGCCTTGCATTTTAGAAGTGGTCCAAGGCCAGTAGTTATCTAGTAAGAGTCACTGCGTTTGACAACTGACTCTGACGGGGATACCATTTTCATGCATTTAGAAATAAATTCAAGGTCAACTTGGACTGGTTAATCTCTTCCTTCAAAATACATTTAGGTTACCATGCGAAGCTATGTGGTAACCACCAGAACGGCCATTTATTACAGGATAGCCAAACTACGCTAAAATCTCTTGCTTACCAAACTCTTTACTTATTTGATAATGTCTGTTGAACACATAAGATGCTGAGTAAAGAAAGACAAGCCATAATCTCTTTTTCTAACAGACTCACAATCAAGCTGGGAAAAAATGTTATTTAAATAATCAACTACAATAAAGTGTTGGTGTTACTACGCAAGCAGTCTGAATAGAGGACTCCCATGGGAGTGCAGAGAAGTGATTATTGTTTCCTGAATCAAAGAGGCTCTGCGGGTGTGTGGGTGTGTTTGTGCTGGCAACCACAACAATGATGACAACATAAGACATGAACATGGCCTCAGGAAAGGCACAGAAGTACAGCAGTGGGACCAGTGAAGTCCAGGAATACAACACTGTATGGTGTGGCTGAAATGTGTTTCAAATGGATGCAAAACTCAAATGCTTTTAGGGTTGAAATGAATGTCAAAACATATCCAGGCAAACCTGATGATAAGTAGCAACTGACTCTCTGCTTCGGTGTCTAAAGGACAGGAGGAGGTTGTAGTAAACTGGAACAAGCTTGCCCCGTCAAGAAAAGCAGGAATTCGGAGCCCCAGCCAGCTGGTGCTGTGCAGAAACTTATGCACCCATGGTCTCTGATTTTTCAAGTGAAGACAGAAATCCAGATTTCTATCTTAATTTTAAATGTTCATCCTGATTGTAAATGTTTGCCCAACTAATTAAAAACAATTTAAAAACATTATACAAGCCAAAACAAAATGTATCTGTGGGCCGATTTTAGTTGGGGGCTGAGAATCTACAACCTCCGATGCTGAATTTAAAGTGAAGGAAAAGGCTGGGGACAGATTATGAAAACCCTTAAAATCATGCCAAGGAGTTTGAATTCTACCGTGTAGGCATCATGAAATAAGATGAGTGGATATATATTTCAGAAAAGTACCTCTCAAACTGTGTTTGTGGGAATTATTATTTGAGACAACCGGCTAGTGGCATGATGGAACATGGCTTACAGAAGAGGCTGAACACGGTGTAAACCCGTTATGAGGTAATGACATTTGTCTGGATGAGAAATAAGAAATGGAGAGCTGAAGATGGCTTTTAAAGAGACAGCTCAGTTATGGAGCAGAACTTGTGAGAAACAGGGAGGAGCAAAACAGGATGACAGAAGAGCACACTCGGAGACAAAGCGCACAGCAAAGCTCTGCCCAGTCAGGACTCCAATGCTGTGGACTTATCGCTTTCTTTTTGTCATGGATTTCTCAAAAATTCAAATTACAGTATCATTCCTCTACCAAACCACATATGGCTATTACTGTATCGAACTTTTAAAAAATATCAGTCTCTAAGTAATTAAACAGAGATGCTGTGATGGTTAATTTTAGTTAAACCATGGTTACTCTTGATTGGCTACAGGGTGCCCAGATGAAATGTTTTTACACAGTATTTCTGCGTGTGTCTGTGAGCATGCTTCCGGATGAGATTAGAGCAGTTAAGGCAGATTGCCCTCCCACATGGAGGCGAGCATCATCCACTCTGGTGAGGGCCTGGAAAAGAACAAGAGAAGGAAGGAGGAGCAACTCACCCCTTTTTTGCTTCCTGCTGGTCTGCTTGAGTTGGGACATCTCATCTTTTCTGGCCTTTGGATTGGGATTGAAACCACTGGCTCCCTGGTTCTCAGGCCTTCAGACTCAAACTAAATTACATCACTGGCTTTCTTGGGCCCCAGCTTGCAGAAAGCAGATCAGGGGACTTTTCAGCCTCCACAATCATGCGAGCCAATATGTCATAATCTCCTTTTATATAGTTATATACTTATAAAGTTTTCTGCTGATTATTTATCTGGAGAACCCTGACTAATACAGACGCTTTCCAAACATGCACGGAATTCAACACATTAATGAAAACATAAATTCAGTTTGCTTAAAAAGAAAATAAATCTATCCCGAGAATAAAGGTCCCCTTCAGTTATGGAATACATTCTTAGTGGATGCCTAGAATCTGGACATGATCAATCAGAGACACTGACATTTCTAAAATTGTTCCTAAATTGTCAGAATTCTTCACTTGGCTCTTCTTGCACATATATTTTCTACAAAAACAGTTTTAAAGGTACAGCATTTTCATGAAATAAGTGCTTTTTCCATATATTTTTCACTTTTTTTCTTAGCAAGGTTCACCTCTGTGTTCTAGTAGCTTCGGTTCACAAGTTTGGCAGACTACTCTTATGATAGTCAGGATTTTCAGGTATTTCTGTCAAATCAGAAATTCACTTCCATATTTTTACTAATAATATGATCTCGTACACCTTGAGTTTTATGTGACACCACACTAAACTATGCTGTCCCCTCCCACCAAACAAGTAAAATGGAAAAATGCTTCCATGTGAATATAGGTGAGGATAAAATCGAGTCGCTTCTGTACACATGCAGTTGCATCAGAATTTAGAGTTTATAGATGCTAGCTATTCGTGTAAGTGAGCTTAACCATTTGATCTGCCCGGGTCCTCCTGGGCCTATCAAGACAAATTACATGATAAGGAAATTTAGCGATGCCAACTGTGCAGTGTCCAGAAATACAAGAAAGAGGGAAATGGACTGGGAAGGCTATAGGAAGAAGGTGGGATGGGCTAGCACACATGAATGGGCCAAAAATAATGATCTGAAACAAAAATAGTCTTTGGTGCTTTAAAATTTACACTGTTTCCTCTCTACAAGAGCATCCCTCTGTCTCCTCTCCCCAGGGTTAGGTATGTATTGGTTCAATTATACATTTATGTGCACCAGAGCACATACCATACACCTTTGGCAAAAAAAAATAATAACTTGATGGATTAATATGGTGTCACTTTGTACCTTAATGTTACTGAAACCTACTAGTGATAGAATAGAGAAAAGAGGGTCTAACAACAGATAAATACCCTTACCTTTCAGTTTATGCCTAAACTTACACCTTTAAGTTAATGCCACAAACTTAAGCTATGCCATAAACTTAGATGTAGCTTTTGAATTAACTTAGATGTAGCTTTTTAATTAAGATATATATACATCAGAGAATTAAATGAGTGAAAAACACACAGAAAATACAAACTATTCCACACATTAAATCTTCAAATCAGACTCCTTTTCTGTGCTCTAAATAGGGGAAAGTGCTATTAACCAACTAAGACAGTATATTAAGGATAAAACTGAGAGGAATGTAAGGAAATTGCTATGTCATACACTTGGTAACACTCCACAAAGAGATTGTTTTTCATTCAACTGTAAGCTTCCTGAGTAAAGAGAACATGTATTATTCATCTTTTTATGCCCTACAGTACTTAGAACAGCTTTTGCTATGATAGGCCCCTGGTAATGGCTACCAAACTGGGAATTAAAATTCTCTAGGAAACAAAGTTCTTATTCAAAATTAGCCACCACGCATACTGAGCACTTTCGAAGTGCTAGATGTGGGAAGGGGCAGGAGCTTTACGAAAACGGTTAAGAATATGGGCTTGGAAAAGTACTCGCCAAAAAAGTGAGATCTCAGCTCTCACTTTTACCAATAAAGTAAACAATGTGTGCACAGAGGCTTAATACCACATGTGGGGGGAAACCAAAAAAAGAGATCAGGTAGAATGAAAGGAATTGTCTGATGCGGCAAAGAGCTGTCTCAGAGGAGAGAAGCGAATGCTGGGATGGTTTTATTTTGCTCATAACCACACAGGAACAGGACACAGAGAGGCAGAGCTCAACTGGGAGTCACAGTGCATGCAACAACGCTTTCACAAATCACCGAGCTGGTTCACAGTGCAACTACCACCATCATGCCTGTCAGCTCATTTGGGCTGCTACTAAAATGATTTCTATTGATCATAAAGTACTAAAGGATTAGAAACCAGAGAATCTGAGCTTGTAGCAACTATAGTCCTGTTCAGTAATTTTCCAACTTTTTTTTTCTTTTTTTTAAGCTATAGGATGTCTTATTCAAATAAAATTTTATAACTGACCCCAATATACAAAAAGATAAAATTAGAATTACTCTGATTTACTGCTCAGGTTGCAGCAGGTGGCCTGGGACCCTGCTTGAGGCACCAGAGAATCACTATGGATGCAAAATTTGAAAACTACTGACAAGTCCAAACTCCTGCTTGACAGAGGTTAAGCAGTCACTCAGGCAGTGAATGAGAGCTGGAACTAGAATCTGGGAATGTCAACACCCAAAAAGGGTTCTTCCCACTATATTCCATGCTGATTCTAAAAAACTGAGGATACAATTCATACTTACCATCTTTGTTCAGCCACTGTTTTCTCATTCTGTACAAAAGGAGCTAGTTGTGGACATATGGTAAAAGGAACTTGACACACCAGCTCTCCACACCAAGTTTGTTTTCAACCAGAACTATGGGACTCCGGTTATACCGAGCTTCAGGACATGGGATCAGGCCAATTTCATCTCTTAATATGTAAAACATAAAAAAGAATTAAAGATAAGAATACTAGCCTTTAAAATTTTTCAATCCTACAGAGTATTATTTTTTTTAATTCACTTTTTTTCCTTTCTTAAAAATACTATTTAGCTCACTTACTGGCTTGGTAGAAATTAAAAAATAATCACCAGTTTTTAAAAATACTAACAGTATAGGAAAATAAGTATGCTGTACTCCTTGCTGACAGGAATGAAAATCAGTCTGCTACTCTTCAGATGGAAATTTGAAAATCTCTTTCCAAATTTTGAATACATATACTCTTTGACCCAGCCATTCCACTGCTCAGAAATTATCCTATACCAAAATATATGAATAGGATGTTTACTGTAACACTGCAACAAAACTGGAAACAATCTAAATGTGTATCAATAGAGGGCTGGTAAAATAAATATGGCTTATCCATGTGATAGAGGTGTAAAAAAATTAGGTAGATCTGTATATGCTGGTATGGAAAGTGTGCCAAGATATAAGAAACAAACAAACAAAAAGCAAAATGCCAGTGTACAGCACAAAGCCTTTTTTTTATAATTAAAAAGAAAGATATATAGATGTATTAAAAAATTTCTCAGAAGGATACCAAGAAACTTTTGGGGAAAGGAAGGATTTTATTTTTATACACTTTAAATTTACTAATCACTTGTAAGTATTATTTCTATATTTAAAAAAGTGTCAACAGGGCTGGCCAAGTGGCACGTTGGTTAGGAGCTGGCTTGGGACGCCAGCTCTGAGCATCAGGGCCCCGGTTCGGATTCCACATGAAGGGCCAGTGACGCTGCGCCCTCTACAGCTAAGATAGTGAACAACAGCTCAACCTGGAGCTGGGGTGCCCTGAGTTGCCTGTGATGCCGTATGCTGCAGTGGGGCTGGCAGGCAGCAGCGGGCGTGAACTTTCATGAGCTGCCCTGAGTGGCAGTCCAATGGCCAATGAGCGACTGCCTCTCCAGAGCGCAATGATAATACCAACATGGGCCAGTGAAGTGACATCCTCCACAATGGCAACTTGTCTGTTCCCCTTCCCTGATTCCCCAACACTGTTCCCCTCCCTCAATTCCCCAATAACATCTAAAAAGAAAGTTAACAAATATATTTATGCTTGCCTGTTAATAAATGTATGTGGAATGGAAACAAATTATTAACAAAAGTTATCTATAACTGAGATTGTGGGCCATGTTTTCTTCTTTATAATCCTTTATATTTAATTGAATTAAAAAACAACTAATGTTGTTAAAACACAAAATACATTTCATGATTTGAACATTTTCACCTAAGGCATCTATATCCTTCAATCCACCTCACCTTAAGTTGAAAAGTTACAGCCCAATATTTAATAAACAATATGTAGGGCAGTTGACTTACATAGTAAATGAACCAGTAAACATAAAATGTTTTTGCAAAACCTGCACACATGGCTTTCAACTATAAAGAAGTTATCATTCTTGCCTGCATGAAGCAGTCTTTCTCAAATGTCCTTCCCATAATTAATGAATAGCTAACAAGAAACCTTTTAATAAGAGCAGTTGACATAACAATATTTTTAGAGTGTCTAAATAAATTTTTTTAAATGTGTTTTTAAAAAGCAAAATAAAGAACTGGTTTTCAGAGCTTGGGTGTGACAATGACATTATCTATTAGGTCCCTGGGATTCCCCCACCAAGAAGACAGTAGTTTGACAGATGAAAGAGGGAAAAAACTTGTCCAATTACAGGTTATAAGAAAAATCCTTTTTTTGTTAGGCCACCAACACAAATTGGTGGGAGGCTGTAGAACTAAAAATCCCTCCTGGAAACTCTATAAACTGGGAAAGCTCAGAGGTAACCTACTGTCTAATGATCACTCCATTAGTGACATAGAGATATTTATGTCTCTCAATAAACAACGGTAATCTAGGTATTGCAAGTCACTAACCATTCTTTCAAGCTAATTTAACTTGCAAGTCAATTTTGAGACCTAAGGTTTTTTGTCCTGACAATTGGTTCAGTTGATTCAGAGATGTTTCGATATACCATGTCAATACTATCTAAACATTTTATGAGTACTACTACAATGTACTGGGTACTGTGTTAGGTTCTGAAAATGCAAAAATGAATAAAACAAGGGGGGTCCCAGAATTTACAGAGCTGATAGTTTTGCTGGGAAGTTGTGTCAATATCTATAATAAAATGTCATCACTTTGCCATTCCAGTAATACAAATAAAGTTCGGTAGGAAAAACAGGCCAATGCTGAGAGCATCTGAGGCCAATGCCCAGTACATATTTAAAAACATGTTTTCGCATTTGTATTTGATGATAGGACAACCAGCCACATCTAGATCTACAGATGACTAATATATGTCGGAATCTCTGGTGTTTAAAAAATCTCTGCAATTATTTCAAGAAAAGTTTGTCTAATAACCACTTACAACACTTTAAAGAACAGCAAAAGTCAACAATATGAATGTTAAGTAACAAGAATAAAAGAATCCTAGCTTCTGGGTATAGTTCGGGTATTTTTGGGGGGGGTAGGGGGGGTTATAACTGAAATATACAATGTTAGCAACCTGCGTTGCTTACTATTTAAACCAAAAATAAAATGCCCAACTAATAATTTAATACCTAAATGACAGAACAGAGCCATCTGCACACACACATAAAACCCAGATTGCTTTGGTTGGCTACCATTCTTCCAAGAAATAATTTAAAAAACAAAAATGTTTTGGATATCGCAGTTGCTCAATAATCGCTATTGAGAGGCTGATTATCCTTGCACTTTGGTGCAATATTCAAATTATTCGGTAATAATATTCAAATGAATAATTTTCAAAGAATATCGCATCTTGACTCTGCAAAAGAACAATATCTCTGATTTTCTTCTAATGCAATGGGTCCAAGTCCTAGCTCTGTCAATGTGATATATAGATCATGTCACTTGGCCTCTATAGGCCTCATTTCTAAAATGGTGGAATTGCATTATATTTCTAAATAAAAGAAATGGGCTGCCCGATCTCATCAGCTTTCAAATTTTATGACTAAGAAACCTGGCAGCTATTCTCATGTAAGAATGAAAACAGTCGTATAAGGGAATGTAAAGCACTAGGAAATAAAAAAAAATAAAAGAGAGGTATAATATGCAGAGACAAAAACACTTGATCTTTCAAGGTCCAGTTCTACCAACAACAGTCAATGTGAATTTGGCAAGTCACTTGCCATGAGTATCCTCATCTGAAATACAGAAATAATGATACCTTCCCTGTCTGTATGAAAAGCAAACAATACAATGTAAGAATGTGGTAAGCTATGAAATGCCAAGCAAAGATGAAGTATGTTATCATTAATTCAGTTAACAGCCTGAGGTCAAATAGAAAAGCTCCTTGCTTAACAGATAAAGAGAAGATGAGGCAAAGAATGTTAAGCATTTGTCAAGTTATTTGACCATAAGATAGACTGCTTTACTGCTTCCTAAAAATATCCATGTACTTTATAAAGATAGGTAGGTCAGTAAGCTTCCAAATAACAGCGTGCTTAACTTCAGACTTCTATGCCTAGTCCCTTAGGTCATAGTCCACTTTTTTTCTAGACAATTTAGGGTTCCAGAATCATTTTAAAATTGGAAGGGACCTCATTTTTCCAGTCTCTCATTTTTTCACATAAGGAAACTGAGGTCCAATGAGGGCAATAGGATTACTCAAGGTCATACTGCCAGTGACTAAATTAAAAATCTGGTCCTTCTAATACTTAGCCTCACACCTTTAAAGCTAGAGTAAAGATAAAGACATCAGTGACAGCCAGCAAGATTTAGATTAATTCTTTCTAGATTTCTAGTATTTAAATTTTAATTTCATACTCAAGAAAAGTTTGAAAACTCAGGGAAAATACAAACTAAAAGTCACCTGTCATCCCTCTACAACTATTATATTAGGCTATGTATCTTTTTTTTCCTAAGTATTTTACAAAAGTGAGATTATATTGGACATACTCCTTTATAATCCTTAAAAAAAAAGCTTAATTCACATAAATCATTCTCCTATTAACTTTATATATTTTTAATGGTTGCAATGAATGTGCTATAAATATCAAATACATCTCCACTTATTTTTGTATGAAATACTTAGAAAGTTCTGACTCTTTCACTACCATCAAATTCCATTCATTTATATTTTTAGGTTTCTGGAAATTGAGATTCCTGGTATTTAAGGATACTCAAGTAAATATCTGTATTACTAACGTCACAGGATTTTTAAAGTATGAAAATTTGGGACAATGATCAAGTTTGGATCTTTTCAAAGAGATACATATCACAACGCTCATTTTTTAAGGTTACCTTCTAAGACTACTCCAAAGGAATAACAACATTTTTCCTTAAAAAGGTCATCCACAGCATAATACACTCTCTTGTTTCACTTCACAATGGGGATCCACTGGCTTCCAGATGAAGTTCAAATTTCATATAACGCTGATTCTGACTTTGTTCCTCATGTTTAGACAGTTTCTTGTCTGTACTTTTCAGAAACATTATCGGTCAACTAGAATAGGCCCACTTATTATTCACAAAATATTGACCAGCTTGCCTTCTGGAAGGGAAACCGAACCATGCAAAGTGGAGCGACTAAACAGAAAACAGCCCAAGGATTCAGGAAATGGTGTAAGTCTTTTAAATCTAAATGTTATTTTATTTTTCTCCTCAAACTGAAATTTTTTTCCAGAATGACCAAAAAGGAAAGTCAGCAAATGTTCTAACAGGAACCGACTCTTGCAAATTGATAATTAAAACTTTTTGGCGATTAAATTATTTCAGAGCCCCCGTAGACTTTCCCAATTCTAAAGACTAACTTTATGTATCACTGAAATTATATCACTCACCTTATTTAGAAAAAGCTACACAAATTATTAATTTATTGAGTGTTTATTTTATGTAATATTTTATGTTAGATTTTACATACATTGTTTCATTTATTCTGCATGACAATCATAAAGTAGGAATTTTAACCCCATTTTAAAAATGAGTAAAGAATTTTGTCTAAGTCTACCCAGCTAGTAAATGACAGCCAAGACACACCCCAGGACTGTCAGACTCCAAAGCCAAACTTTTACCATAGAATTGTTTAAATAAATAGATAAAAATCAACTGTAAAAAGACAAGACTCTATAGTTTCCGATTCTTCAGACTGCAGACAATCTAAAATTGCCTTTCATTACTACTCCCTTACTCAGAAATTTTCATTGGGGCCTACCCACTGCCTAGGAAGTGTATTTTCCCTGAGCCAACTTTTATCCATCTCTCATGTCTCAATTTGTTATTGTCTCCAAAAAAACTATCTTGACCTTCTAATCTAAATTAGGCCTCTCTGTTACTATTCTTTCAAAGTATTCTTCTTATCCTTTGGAGCTCTTTTTATAATTGGTGTGTTGATTTAAGTTCCATTAGGGCAGGGACCAAGTGTGGTGTATTCATCAATCTACACCCCACTTAGTCCTTCAGACCTCGTGACTAGCACTGTATCTGCCAAATAGAAGTGCTCTTTTGCTGAATGTGTGCATGGAATGAAAGAAATTAAACTACACAGTCAAGGACTTCCATAATCTGGTCCTACTGTATCTTTTCACATTTTGCTATTTTGGGTTAATTTACTGTTCCTGTGGAGGTCTTTGGCTCCCAAAGACTGTAAATCCTACCTAGTCTTCAAAGTTCAGCTCAAAATCCACCACCTCCCCTAAGAGCCTTGGTCAAGATATACGCAACCTCCCTTCTACTTCTAATAGACTCACATAGTGCTTGCTCACCATGCTGCTAGTCTAACCTTAATCATTAAACACTTTGCAGGGTTAATTTACTATAGCTGCAGGTAAGTCTTAGGTCTCCACCCAGACCTGCACTGTGCCATACAGAAGTCACTAGGCATATGCAGCCATTATGTATAAATCAATTAATATTAAATAATATTTAAACTTCAGCTCCTCATTCACGTTAGTCACATTTCAAGCACTCAATAGCTACATGTGGCTAGTAGCTACCACATCGGACAGCACAGATACAGAACATTTCCAACATCATAGATATTTCTGTGAATGCCTTGACTATAACTGTATTTTATACTTCTTCCTATTCCACTGTGAAAATGGTACCTACAGCACCTCCTAAACAGTGAGAGTCCAATAAATATTTAAAAGAATAATAAAAAACACATGTAAACAGTTGTCTTCCACATTAGTGCAGGGGCTATACATTAAGCTAATGCCAGTCCCTGGGTCAAGCCTTCAGTTTTTCCAACAGTAGCCTTTAAGAGTCAACCACACAAACAACATTCATATGGTATTTTTCAGTTCATAAAGTGCTTCACATTCATCATTCAGTTGGACATTATTCTTTCTGAGGAATTCAGGTTAAGCCTACTATTTACTTATTGACAACTGAGTGCCAGACACTGTGAGAGGTGATTTTCCCATGTTATTATCAGCCCCACTAGATCAAGAGGAAGCTGAGGCCGAGAGAAGGTAACCTATCCATACCTACGAGTAACAAAATCCACATCTCAACCACTGCATCGACGCTTCCTGGCTAGAGATTTCTACAAACTCAGTATGTTTAATGGAGACGATGGCTAATAAAATGAGTCTATCTTGTGTTTGACAAAAAAAAAGAAAGCAAAGAGTAAAGAATGAAAACTTTTTTTTTAATACTGAAAAGTGTAATTAGGTACTAACTTAGGTAAGTGATGGGATTTTTTTTCCTTTTAATTAGAAATAGAGCCTCTTTATTACAGGAAAAAAGGTGCGAGATTGGGGGGAAAGTATAAGCAATTTTGAAAAGTCCAAATTATAAGACATTTTAAAAGATGTGTAGTAATATTATTGACGATATTGTTATTGTAGGGACTATGTATTAAAAGATAGCTGAAGACTATTATTAAGCAATAGGTTAAGCTACTTAATTTTTCAGACCTATATTACATGTCATTTTTTCAAATGTGCATCTTATTTCATACTTTCAAATCTTGAATGACCCAAATGCTTAAAATAATTATAAACTCTGCATTGACAGAGAGCACATTAATGAGATTCACCATAAAAATATGATTAAGGAAGGTATTAAAATCCTTTATGAATTTCAATAAATGTGATCCAGAAGAATTGGGATGTGTTCCAAACATCACTGTCAACCTGCCAAACCAATGAACACTCAATCTGTTTCCTCAAATATAAAATACTGATGCTTTTCTAATCTACCTCAAAAAAGAGAAACTAAGGTGTGACAACTACTTATTTGACTTCTTTCTAACGTCTGCTATAATTTCTTCAAGAAAAATAACACCACTGAGGAGAAAATAGCCCTTCATTTATCCAACTTTTTTTCTTTTTTTGGAGGACATCTCTTATTTGCACTGAAGCTCTCATTCTCAAAAAGGGATCGAAAGACTGATATACAAGACATCAAAGCATTCTTTAGAAGGCCTGGGACTCACTATGGTTACTGCCAGGAAATCATTCCAAACACTCATTTTGAAAAAGGCAGCAGTCACAAGGGGAAAGGAAGTGGCCGCTGTCAGAGGACGCAGGTGTGTTTTGAGGCCATTAGTGTTATGTTTTTAATGAGACACAATTGCAGGTCTCCAATTGTGTGCCACAGGGCGTAAGCCATCCAAGGGCTTCTTAATTCTTTGATAAGCATCACATTGAAGGAAAAGAACACTTCATTTACATGTAGGTTTGGCACCTCTTTTAGGCAGAAAAGCTTAAGAGGTTAGAACGCTTACAAAGAATAATTCACGTGTTCCAGCTGAAAGAAGAAAATATTAAAAATAAACTCCATAAACAAAGTGAAAATAACGTACAAGTTTCTTTCTTTTGGGAGGAGCTACACTCTTGCTTCTCCCTAACTCTTTTGTATCATGTTGTAGATCCATCTCTCCTTTAACAGCCTCGTTTCCACTTGCTACATAAAAGCAGAAGTGTCAGAAATAATAACAGTTTCCTCTGGTATCTTCCCAGAGGACTCCAAGAAGAACGGAAAGGAAGGAGGGAAAGATACATGTCAGTACTGTGCTGTTCTACTTAAAGAGGGCAGCAGTGTTTGGATAAAAAAAAAAAAAAAAGTTAAATAATGCTTGCTCCTTGTAACTATGAATCAGCTAATGATAGAAAGTGTCGAAGTCTCATCTACTTTACATCAGACCCATCCTGTGCCGACAGAAGCCACGCTGCTGAGAACGATCTGTTCACCTTCAAAACCAAATGCTTCACCGGTGTCTCTCCTCTACGATCTTGGGAAAAGTGACGCGCAAGTCAAAAGCCGCCTCGACCTACCTCTGGTTAATAAAAGGAGGGGCCTGGGGCCCATTAAGAATAAGGTGATCGGTAACCCCTCTCACCAACGTCCGGGGTGAACCTCCAAAGAGTTGCGTTTACAAAGCAGGCAGACCCACATCGTGTGTGCGCCTGGCTACCTTAAACGGATGCAGGATGTGGACACACGGATGAAGTCTTCCGAGTTTCCTGAACTCCTGGGAAAGGGGTGGAAAGGAGGGCGACACAAACTCGCTCCGTTTTCATTTCCCGAGGTCGCGTCTAGGGACTCGCCCGCGAGCGCGCTCCACCAGCGGAAAGCGGGCCCCGGGGAAGCCGGCAACGGTCCGGCCGCGACCTCGCTCTGTCCCCTCTCAGGAGGGGCACGCGGGCCAGGATCTGCCGTCCTCTCGCCGCCGCCCGAGGTCGGCTCGAGGCTTGACCGGGTCCCTGCCCACCCCCGACGACCCCCGGAGGCGGTGGAGGCGGGGGCACCGCCTGCGCGCAACTCACATGTGCGGGTTCCTCCTGAAGGCGTTGGTGATGTCCTTCACCACCCGTTGCACCAGCACCGCCACCTCTTCGCTCGACTCGGCCATGTTGGCGGCGGCGGCGGCGGCTCGGGCGCGCCTCCGGGAGAGCGCCGCGCAGCCGGCGGGAGTTCCGCGGGGAGCGCGCGCGTGTGCGCCGGTTTGGCCGCGCTCCCGCCTCCGCCCACGCCGCCGCCGCCGCCGCCGCCGCCGAGCACTTCCGGGTCAGCCTGCTGGTGGCTGGGGCGTGGTGTCTGCCGTGCCTGGGGCGATCTGGGCAGTCCCCGACTTCCTCTCCTTACCTTTAACCGAGTTTGTAAGCTTCCGAGTAGGTACTGCAGGCTCGATTGCAAAATTACACATTCGCTGTTTTACATGTTTTAATTTCTAGTCCACTCGGGCCGAGGAGCAAGGGGTCCTCAAGTCACTCCCCCGGAGCCAGAGACTGGTCTGACACCCTGCACCCCAGTTCTTAGCTGTTCCAGGAACCAGGCAGGTCTCTGAGAGTCCCTGGATTCAGAAAGTTTCACTGAAAGTTTGTTTTCTAAAGCAGTTAGACCTGTGGCATTTTGAGAGCCTGTTTGCTTTATTTGCCCAGCTATAGGGATGAGGAGGTCCAGAGATGCTCCCAATTGGACCATGTTGGTGACTTCCTTTTGTCCTGCCTGCCAGTTGAACATTAAAGGAAGAAGGAAGAAAGAAGGAACTGTTATTTGCCACCTGGATATAGGATGGAAAAGTACAGTACAGAAATATTTTTTTAGATTTTCTACTTGAAATGTGTGGTTGGCCCTTTATATCTGCCACTGACTCCACCAACCAGACTGAACCAACCCTGGATAGAAAATATTTGAGGGAAAAAAGTTACCTTGTTACTGTCGTGTACTATACTATGTAGTTAGGCCTAGCATGGTTGCCTCTGTACTGAACATGTACAGACTTCTTGTTACTCCCTAAACAGTACAATGTAACAGCTATTTACAGAGTATTTGCATTATTTAAAATATATGGGAAGATGTGCATAAGTTATATGCAAATACTATGCCATTTTTATAAGAGACTTGAGCTTCAACCGATTTTGATATTTGACAGGGTCATGGAACCAATCCCCCACCAATAAGGAGGGACAATTGTACTTCATTTTGCATAATATTTGCTATCCTTTGAACACTGTCAATTTTGGAGTGAAATACAAGGTCTGACAGTTAAGTTCCTGAACTCATCCTAGAAAAAGTGCTACATACCTCATTGCTGAATATCACTATGGTCACCTTCCAAGTACACCCCTTGGGAAGCTATGCACCGATGCCAGCGCCTAGTCCACCCTTCAAAAGCAATTTTGGAACTCTTTTTCTGGAATAGACATCAGAGCTGCTGTCGTATTACCCTTGATGTCCTGAATGTCATCCAAATGTCTTCCTTTCAATATTTCTTTTATCTTCAGGTAAAGAAAGAAGTCAATGGGGGCCAGATTGGTAAGTAGGAAGGTTGTTCCTATACAGTTAGTTATTTGTTTAATGGCTAAAATCTCCTTCACAGACATGAGCTGGTGCATTGTCGTGATGCAAGAGCCGTGAATTGTTGGCAAAAAGTTCAGGTCATCTAAGTTTTTCACGCAGCCTTTTCAGCACTTCCAAATAGTAAACTTGGTTAACTGTTTGTCCAGTTAGTACAAATTCATAGTGAATAATCCCTCTGATATCTAAAAAAGGTAAGCAACATTGTTGCAACAAGTTCCCCGAATTTAAAATTGTCAGAACTCCTTTGTGTGTGTGTGTGTGTGTAGATAGATAAATATAGATATATAGAGAGGGCGCCAAAAAAATGTACACACATTTTAAGAAAGGAAAAAAATGTGTTAATGTTGTACTCAATATATACCGATAACAAAACATGAATACAAGTCACGTTTGACTTCTGCAATTACAAGAGGTGTTAAAAGTGGTTACCATCAACATCAAGAGACTTCTGATTATAGTGAACTACTGCTTGAGCAACGCTGACCAAAATGTCCACTTTTATACATTGTCTTGGCCTCCCTGGTATGCATAGAGGATATAAACTAAAATGTTAACAATGATTATCTGTATGATAGAATTAATTACTGGATGTAATTAAGATCTATAAATATACATTCTTTATACTCTTCTGAATGTTTCAAACGTTCTACAATGAAACCTAATGTATGTGTTGAAGTCCTGGAGGGAAAGAGGACACCAAGGTGGTTTTAATGACAGTCCTGTAATAACTTTTGTGAAGAGTTGGAGGTAACCTTATAATCTGTTTCCATCTTTGCTCTATGTTATTCTACTTATATCACAATGTTGTATTGTTTATTAACTCCATTCATTTGAATTTGAAGTCCATTTTCTCATAGTAATACTATGCAAGATAGAGTGTAAATAGCACTAAACACATTCTTACTGATTAGTACTACAAAAAATCCCTTATTTCTCCCATTAAAAAAATTAAGTGCTCAATTAATATACATATCAAATATATATATCAAATAATATCCTCTAGGTCCATCCATGTTGTTGCAAATGGTAAGATTTCGTTCTTTTTTATGACAGAGTAATACTCCATTGTATAAATGTACCACAATTTCTTTATCCAATTGTCTATTGATGGGCATTTCTGTTGTTCTCATATCTTGGCTATTGTGAATAGCGCTGCAATAAATACAGGGGTGCATATATTTTTTTCAAATTATTGTTTTGGATTTCTTTGGATAAATACCCAGTGGTGGAATTGCTGGGTCATAAGGTAGTTCTATTTTTAATTTTTTGAGGAAACTATAATGTTTTCCATAGTGGCTGCACCAAGTTGCAATCCTACCAACAGTGCACCAGGGTTCCCTTTTCCCCACAACCTCGCCAGTGCTTGTTGTTTGTTGATTTATTGATGATAGCCATTCTGACAGAAGTGAGGTGGTATCTCATTGTGGTTTTTATTTGCATTTTTTTTAATGATTAGTGATGTTGGGCATCTTTTTATATGTTTATTGGCCATCTGTATGTCCTATTAGGAAAAATGTCTCTTCATGTCCTCTGCCCATTTTTAAATTGGATTGTTTGGTTTTGGTGTTGAGTTGTATGAGTTATAAATTTTGGATATTAACCCCTTATCAGATATATCATTGGCATATATCTTCTCCCATTCACTAGGATGTCTTTTTGTTTTGTTGATGACTTACTTTGCTTTGAAAAAACTTTTTAGTTTGCTGTAGTCCCATTGTTTATTTTTTCTTTTGTTTCCCTTGCTCGAGAGAAAAAAATCAGTAAAAATACTACTAAGGGTGCTATCTGGGAGTTTATTTCCTATGTTTTCTTCTAGGAGTTTTATGATTTAAGTCTTTAATCCATTTTGAGTTTATTCTTGTATATGGTATAAGAAAGTGTTCCAGTTTCATTTTCTTGCATGTATCTGTCCAGTTTTCCCAGTACCATTTATTAAATAGGCTGTATTTACCCCACTGTAAATTTTTGCTTCATCATAGATTAAATGACCATAATTCATATAGCCATGGATTTATTTCTGGGCGCTCTAGTCTGTTCCATTGATCTATGTGTCTGTTTTTATGCTAATACTATGCTGTTTTGATTACTATAGCCTTGTAGTATACTGTGATATCAGGTAGTGTGATACCTCCCACTTTCTTCTTATTTCTGAGGATTGCTGTGGCTATTTGGGTCTTTTATGGTTCCATATAAATTTTAGGATTATTTGTTCTTGTTTTCTGAAAAATGTCATTGGTATTTTGATAGGGATTACATTGAATCTACATATTGCTTTGGGTAGTATTGATATTTTAAACATTAATTTTTCCTATTCATGAGCATCATATATGTTTCCATTTATTTGTATCTTCTTTAATTTCTCTCTTCAATGTCTTATAATTTTTTGAGTGTAGGTCTTTTACTTCCTTGGTTAAATTTATTCCTAAGTATTTTATTGTTTTTGATACAATTGTAAATACGATTATGTTCTTAATTTCTTTCTGATAGTTTGTTATTCATGTATAAAAATGGAACTGATTTCTGAATATTAATTTTGTATCCTCCTATTTCACCAAATTTATTTATGAGTTCTAATAGATTTTTGGTGGACTCTTTGGCGTTCTATACATATATAGTATCATATCATCTGCAAATAATGACTACTTTACTTCCTCCTTTCCCATTTGGATGCCTTTTATTTCTTTTTCTTGTCTGATTACTGTGGCTAGACCTTCCAGTACTATGTTGAATAAAAGTGGAGAAAGTGGGTGTCTTTGTTTTGTTCCTGATCTTAAGGAGAATGCTTTTAGCTTTTCCCTGTTGAATATATTAGCTGTGGGTTTGTAGTATATGGCCTTTATTATGATGAGATATGTTCCTAATAATCCCACTTTGCTGAGACTTTTTATCATAAATGGATGCTGGATGTTGTCAAATGCTTTTTCTGCATCTATTACTATGACCATATGATTTTTATTTTTCATTTTGTTTATAGGGTGTATCATGTTAATTGATTTGTGGATATTGAACTAAGCTTGCATACCAGGAATGAATCCCACTTGATCATGGTGTATGATCTTTTAATGTATTGCTGAATTCAGTTTACTAATATTTTGTTGAGGGTTTTTGCATCAATGTTCATTAGGGACATCAGCCTATAGTTCTTTTTTTTGTAATGTTTTTGTCTGGTTTTGTTATCAGGGTAATGGTGGCCTCGTAAAATGACCTTGAGAGCCTTTCCTCCTCCTGGATATTTTGGAATAGTTTGAGGAGAATCAGTGTTAATTCTTTTTTTGAATGTTTAGTAAAATTTACCTGTGAAGCTATCTGGACCAGGACTTATTTGTTGGGAGCTTGTTGATTACTGATTCAGTTTTGTTGGTGGTAACCAATCTGTTCAGATTTTCTGTTTCTTGTTGATTCAGCCTTGGAAGGTTGTACTCTTTTAGGAATTTATCCATTCCTTCCAGGTTGTCCAGTTTGATGATGTATAGTTGCTTGTAATATTTTCTTAAATTTTTTTGTATTTCTGTGGTGTCTGTTTACATTTTTCCTTTTTCATTCCTGATCTTATTTAGTTGGGTCCTTTCTTTCTTTCTTTCTTTCTTTCTTTCTTTCTTTCTTTCTTTCT